AGGATTTGCTGATCCAAATCATATTTGGATTTGAATTCTCCTTAAGAGATAATGACAGATCCATATCTTATCTGCAGATTAGATCAGCCCTCTCCTATTTTGATTATGAGGTTTCCAGATCTGAATCTGTATTCAAATTTGGACTCTCTGAGTGGATAGGGTTTTACCCTATCCTATCTGCTAATCTAATCTCAGATTCGCCCATTCTTTAACTGATCAAATCATTCCAGTTCGAAATGGGCTTTAAGCCCATTAATAGTATGTGCTCACTTAGCCTTCGAAATTGCTGCCCAACTCCTTGTATGGCGTGAGACCCAAGCATTGATCTACACATCAGCCACAAGGGTTTGGCCCAGCCTTTGTTACAAGGCCTAGCCAAATTCACTGGAAAGCCCAGTGAACCCCCTGGGCCCATCACATGGACTTTATGGGCCCAACACTTACATTAAGTGGTCCCTAGGCCAAGCTACCTTGTAACACCCAGAGACTGTGGGCAAATTCAAGATTAACCCATCAGGTATTACCCTCAATGGTCTTACACTTAACCTCTCAGCCCATAATGATCATACACTGCCCGACAAGAGAGGACCTCTCCCTCGGCTGCAAGGAACAGTGCTGCACTCTCTGCTCACATGGATCCCGGGAATTAAAACATTTTGCAAACAATTTGAAACCGTAACATATATATACTTTTATATCTCATATAAAATATATTTTGCAAAACAAATCTCAATGATTGAAATCGGCYGSYRGYAGTCTTGGTTTCCATCAGAGAGAGTGCATCCCCGATCATTACCTTTGTCCAACAAAGGGGTTGATCCTGTCACTATGATCACCCACTCAGATGAATTCTCGGACTCTCCCAACATACCCTGGTTTTGACCTCTTCTAAGGATCTCACTGATTAGCATATCAAAGACAACCCAATCCGACACCTAGTGCAGTATCATAATCGAGTGTAGGGGTCAGGTGTAACTTTCCAGTTTTGCCCATCTATCTCCAAGGTCCAAGGCAATACTAGAAATCTGATCCGGTTCAAGGTTTCAAGTAATCCTACATTGCATGTGCTTTGGGTCTCACTCTGGCAGCTGAGACAGGATACCCCAACACTTAGTAGCATACCAGTGTCAGCCTTAGCAGGATAAATCTACACAGACTTATCCAACGGCTGTGAACATTCTAAACTAACAAGAGTCTCATTTAATATCTAGTTTAAGGGTATTACACAAAAACACCACAAGAACATGAATCAAATATGCACTTTATTCATTTACAATAAATGTCATAAGTACATCAAACTGATTGGAGCTAAGGGCATACAACTGTCTAACACCATCAACTTGGCTAAGACAAGTTGTTGCCGAAATGATTTTGGATATCACCTAATTGTTCTGAAGTACCATGTGTCACAATATCATTGGAGGGCCAAATCCACCCTCATCAAAAACTGCAATTGATCATCGAGGAGCACTAGGAAGAGCAGCAGCAATAAAAATAACAGCATCAAGAAAAGTAGCAATAATTCTTCGACAACAACGAAGCAGCCGAAGAGTCGGGCATGAAAGAGAAGACAGAAGAACTCGGATGCTCATTTCATGATCAATGAGAACGTGATTGTGGACTCGGATTATAGAGATACCAAAACCACAGTGATGATTAAGAACATACCCAACAAGTACAGGTGCTTTGCTCCCAAGTGCTCTATGATCTTTCCTTGTTTTGTTTTTCCATCTGGGTTATGTTTTTCTTTTTCGAGGTCAGGCGTTGCTTTTGAACATGCTAGACAACCACTGCATACACTGCAACGAGCAGATTGGCGACAACGATGATCAACCATTATCGTTTATCTTTCTATTGATTTCAAGTAACTTTTTTAACCAAATCAAATATTTAATCTTAAATTTGAGAATTTTCAAGTCTTTGTTAACATTGAGGATAACAATGCCATGTCATCAGAAGTTGCCACATCACCAAAGAATGCCAAGTCAATAGATATGCGATGAACCTTATCACAAATTCATCGCATATCCCTGTGATAGATATCTATTAACTTGATAAACTCTATCATATAGAGTTAAATGTAACCTGATCTGATCTCTTATCTTGAATGTTGTACACAAACTCTAACAATTGTATCTATAATATTCGAACCACTTTTATTTAATACAAATTTTTGCTATTATTTTCATCTGTTAATCATTTAATTTTCATTTCTGTAATAATTCTGTGCCCTCCGTTGTCTTTGCTGGTAACAGTAACAAGTGTAATGTTGGTAACAGTAACAAGTGTAATTCTGTGCCCTCCGTTGTCTTTGCTGGTAACAATAACTCATGGCATTTGTGCTTTGTTTTTGGAACTTCTTTTGATAGGATTGAGGTACCCCTAGCTTCGATAGGTTAGAGGTTTGAGTTAAAGGTACCAAAATGAAAAAAAAAAAAAACGAAAACTTAGTAATAATAAGCAATTGTGTAGGGAAAGACCGAAAGAGGGAAGAAGAAGAAGAAAAAGGAGCTTTATCACCAGTTGATATTTTTTTGGCTGTTGATTGATTTCTTGCCATCTGATGTTGTTTACACAAGGAAAATCGCCGGTAGTCTTTTCACTGGCCAAGGTTAGGCTTGGATATGGGAGAATGGGTGGGAGGGTTTAAAACGAAAATTTTCATTTTTTGTCTTTTTAGCGTCCGGTTGAACCGGACAGATAGAAATTAACGTTAAGCACCCGTTGATTCAAAGGAATCGATGTATACACATCCTATTGAAGGGTTCACGCACCCAGTAAACCTAGGGTCCACTGAATCCGGACTCCCTACAACTTTCCCCAATAGGTGTTCCACATCCTACCATGAGATTCCCAGGCGTAGAACCATAAAGTGGATCTGATAGATCCAATCAAAAATATTCTATTGCGTAGGGTCCTGGCCTTTGATTTGTATACGACAACTTATGGGTAGCAGCGATCCTGGAAGCCGGATTTGCCCATATAGTTTGATTGATGTCCAATCCATCTTGTCAGGATCCAATATGGATCATCTTAAGGGTCTAGGGATGCTAATGCCATACGTTATGGTTGGGGTCAGTAAATAAAGATCCAATTGTGATTAAACAAGTCGTAACTTGAATCAAGATCCACTACCTTATATCAATTAAATAAGTTCTGAATTAAATCTGATCTAATCCACAACATCATATGAATTCTCTACAACCAGTACTATAAGTCTATAACATGTTGAAGATGGAACTGCAGCTCAGCTCGACGAATCTGCCGGGAAGGAAATATTGCTATTTGCTAGGTTGGGTAGTTGGGTATGGTAGCCAACCAAAACTCTCGGACACAGTTTGCTGGTGACGATTGGGTTGGATTACCGGGTATCCATAATAAATGACTGAAGTTCCGTCACGCCCGCGCTGTCGTCTGGTCGGGTCCAGCTCTTCTTGGGCTAGTAGACTAGTAGTTGTCACTTGTGACGGTTCCAAGTCAAACCCGATTCACAGTTCGAGGTTTGTTTTGTTGTATCAAACCATATTTGCTACGATAGCTCTGCGCGGAAATAAAGAAATCAAAACATTCGATATATTATCATGGCCCCACCTTGAATTACATGAAGGCCAGGATTTTCGGGGAAGCGCTTTGGAATCTCTCCTCTTATAAATGATAACCCTCTGAGACATAGGAGACGGGGCAAAGGCGCAAAGCAAAGTAAATGCTTGGGTTATGCCCGATTAACAACTCTTCCTCTTAATTATATTGGGTCTAAATTATTATCCACTATCTCAACAGCCCCAACTTGCAAACCTCAATTCCTCGTGCCCATGGAGGCGGAACCTCCGCCCTCCTGACTCCTGAGGTTGGGCCCACTAGGATTTTCATAACCGTCGGATCCAAGCCTCTGTTTAAAAGTATAAAACAAACAACTCCAATGATGACCCACTTATATTTACTGTTTTGCCATTATAAAATGGGAAGCGTGCACACTGCACACTGCACACTGCACACCCGGTTCTTGGGTCAAAAGTTGTTGACATTAACTCCGTATAATTAAAAAAACAAAGTGAATAATCATCGAATTTATACAATCTGAACGCCACATCGTGGATTTCTATGCACGCAGATCGAACCCCGTAGGCCCGTATTCCTTTGCCTTCTTGCTGCAGCGCAGGCATGTAATTACTAATTACCTCGCTCCTTTTGGACCAAATTACGAAAATCACCATCTCCTTCTCATACGGTCATACCAGAGCAGAGATTAAAGACCTCGGATTAGCTTTAGTCAATCCTATTTTAATCCTTAAGATTTATTTAATAATTACTGGCTTACTGCAGCTGTTAACAAGCGCATGCGTGGTCAGAAGATCACAACAGTACGGTAAATCGCTATAAATCGTCTCGTAAAAGACAAGTCATTCCTTTGCACTAGATAAATCACGGTGGTACAGTAATTCATCCCCTCGATGAATTCCCGACCGTCCAAATCCTCTGATAGGCAACGTAAACAGCGTTAAGGACCGATCAAACTCCTCTCTTGATGGGTACAACCTCCGGTTGCGATGCGTGGAATCAGGGCGGTCCAATCTTTGGTATTGCCAAATGCCAATAGCCAGAGGCCCAGAGCAGTGGAGCACTACGTACCACGTCTACATTTTTCCCGCATCTTCAGACATCCTTGTTTCTGACATTTATGTCAAAATTTTCAAGTGTCTGTTAAAGCTGGAAAGGTTCGAATGATTTAACTTTTGTAGGACCACGTTTCCCTCTGATTAATGGCATCGAATTGGTGGCCCACCAACTGAATCGACGATCACCCACGTTCATTAGGGCTCGATTGGATTGTGGATTGATCAGTGAAGCATTTGTCAGAGAGGAGTATTTCCTGTTTCGTGACTGTTTTTTCTTATCAATAATAATCTTTAACAAAAATAAAAAAGAAAGCACATGCTTATTATAAAAAATTTTAGTAAAATAAATCAAAATAATTCCCTAACCTGCTGATTCCCTGAACAAAATCCTGGTCAATTTGCGGGAAAACCAGGTAGAACGTAGAAGAAACAAATGCACCCGCCTTCATTCTTTACGGAAAGCCCAGGGATTTCGCCCTAATTACATATTTACCCGGTCCCCAGGTCTCCCCGGTTCAAAAGACTATAGAGCGACACTCACCTATCTCTTCTTCCTTGTTCACCATTGTAGTTGCTAGCTTGCTGCAAGCAAAAATGGCGAAGCCCACCCTTGCGTTTTTGCATTTCGTTCTGTGTATCTCGCTTCTCCGCTTACCATACGCGCAAGCATCTTCCAATCCCGATTTTCAGGCGTTAATGGCGTTCAAAACTGCTTCAGATCCCTCTAACAGGCTTAGTAGCTGGAACCAAACCGCCGATCCATGTACCTGGTACGGTGTTTCATGTGTTCAGAACCGCGTTTCTCGTTTAGTTCTCGAAGGACTGGATATCCATGGCAGCTTTGAACCCTTAACTAAACTGAACCAGCTTCGTGTTTTGAGTCTCAAGAGGAACCGCTTCTCTGGTTCGATTCCCGACCTTTCTAACCTCACCACACTAAAGCTTCTTTTCCTCTCCTACAATGACTTTACTGGAGACTTCCCCTCCTCCGTAACGTCGCTTTTCCGGCTTTATCGTCTTGATCTGTCTTATAACAACCTCTCCGGTCAGATTCCAGTTACAATCAACCGCCTTACGCACCTCCTCACTCTCCGACTCGAAGAGAACCAGTTTTCGGGCGGTATTTCCAGTTTGGACATCCCGAACCTGCAGGACTTCAATGTGTCAGGAAACCGCCTCACCGGTGCCATACCCAAGTCCTTGTCTGGTTTCCCAGAGGCGGCTTTCTCTAGGAACCAGGTCCTGTGCGGGTCGCCATTGCCGAGTTGTAAGAACATTGTGAGCGACCCGAGCAGGCCCGGCTCCGAAGGGGCTGTGGCGTCGCCATTAAGTCCTCTCGACGAAAGACCGGGGGTGGTCTCGTCGTCGCCGAGTTCGAAACCGGAGGTCTTAGAGACAACAGGAAATAGTCACCACGGCGGAACCGGGAAGATGAGTATGCTCGCCGTCATAGCCATTATACTCGGCGATATTTTGGTGCTCGCGCTTGTCTCGCTCGTCTTGTACTGCTACTTCTGGAGAAATTACGCGGAAAAAATGCGCGAGGGCAAAAACTCGAGATTAATGGAGGGAGAAAAAATCGTTTACTCGTCGAGTCCCTACCCTCCGCAAGGCGGGTTCGAGAGAGGAAAAATGGTTTTCTTTGAAGGGGCAAAGCGGTTTGAACTGGAGGATTTGCTGAGAGCTTCGGCCGAAATGTTGGGGAAAGGTGGGTTTGGAACGGCGTATAAGGCGATTCTCGATGACGGAAACGTCGTTGCCGTTAAACGGCTTAAAGAGATTCAAGTCGGGGGGAAACGTGAGTTCGAACAGCAAATGGAGATATTGGGACGGTTAAGGCACCAAAACGTCGTTAGTATGAAGGCTTATTATTACGCTAGAGACGAGAAGTTACTGGTCTACGAGTATATGCCAAACGGAAACCTATTCTGGCTCCTCCACGGTACGTCAAACTTCTTCAAAATCATTGTTTTCTCTGTTTCTCTTTTGTTTTAACACTATCTGAGCTGGGACGGTTACCGGAACAGGGGAAGCCGTAGCCGGCCCACTTCGTCACTGTGTCGTGGGTTTTTCTTTTTCATATGTCTATTATCGTGTTACGTTTCCCGTTGATCGTTGCCTGTGGATTTACAAATCCTTCCGATTGGCAATTTCGTGATTTCGTCAATCGAAATCAATCTCGCCTAAGTGAATTCCTTGGGCGAGGGCATCGATCAATTGCGTTCAGGCATTTGATTGGGAAAGCAATTCATTGATATGACGAGTGGAGGATTATTGTTGGGATGTTGGTCGGATAGGTTGAACTGTTGATCATCTAACGGGTGAGAGTGTGAGCCGTGGCCTGTGGGCTGTAACCGGTCATTCTGAAATGATTAGAAGTTCGTATGCTCTCTGTAACGTGGAACTTGATGTTATGGATGGGAATAGATAGATAATGGGGGATGTTTGGGCTTTTGGACCCACCACTTTAATGGCTTCCAACTTCCAACTAGCAGAGTTCACCAGCCGTTTCACTTCCGCCCAATCAAGGAATGCTGTGGAACAGGACTGTTTGGTCACGATAACTTGTATCGCAGAGACTGCCAGTTGGTGTTGCTGCAATACTGTTGGACATCGCAACAATAAAACATCAGTAGTCACACTTCGCTTTCTTTTATGGAAAAAAAAAGAAGGTGAGGGGCCTCTCGCTGTTGTCGCGATGTTGCAGACTTCATGCGGTAGGGTCTTCAGAGGGTGTCTTTTTGGCTTTTCTTTCACTTTGTTACAGGAGTGTAGCTAAGTGGAACAGAGCTTATGGGTAGAAGCAAGGCACCAAGACTGTGCTGGTGGCGTTTATGTAGTTTCGAAGGCTTGACTGCAATTTATTATGTCTCCATTGCAGGTAACAGGGGCCCCGGCCGAACCCCACTAGACTGGACGACAAGGTTGAGGATCGCAGCCGGAGCTGCTCGTGGGTTTGCCTATATCCACCACTTCTGCCGATCGCCGAGAATCTCCCACGGTAACATTAAGTCTACAAACGTTCTCATCGACAAGGCCGGGAACGCACGAGTTTCTGACTTTGGTCTCTCTGTCATCGCCTCTCCTGCGGCTCCTCCAAGAACAAACGGCTATCGTGCTCCAGAGACGTCAACCGACAGCCGGAAATGTTCGCAGAAGGCAGACGTGTATGCCTTTGGTGTGCTACTGCTGGAGTTGCTAACCGGGAAATGTCCGTCGGTTGTGGACAACGGAGAGATGGGTGTTGGTTGTGGGGTGGTAGTTGATCTTCCGAGGTGGGTCCAATCTGTGGTGAGGGAGGAATGGACGGCGGAGGTGTTTGATCTGGAGCTGATGAGATACAAGGATATAGAGGAGGAGATGGTGGGGTTGCTGCAAATCGCCATGGCTTGCACTTCGGTTTCACCTGAACAACGGCCCAAGATGGGTCATGTGGTGAAAATGATAGAGGAGATAAGGGGAGTGGAGGAGGGTTCACCATCGCATGACTCGTTTGACTCGGTATCTGAATCGCCTTCCATGTCAATGTCGGACGACAAGGCGACGAGTCGATGATGACTGATGAGCTACTAGAAATATATGGAGTGATTATGTTGGGGATAATCATGTAAATAATTATCCCTAATAAGTTGGGATTTGGGAATTGGGAAGGCCTTTTCTTTGTATTGTAATTCTGTTGTAAAGTAAGAGCTTTAGTTGTGTGGGTATTGAGATTGATTTTTGTTTTGTTTTCGGAATGGTTCAAGTAGAGAGTAGAGAGTGTGAGTATTTGATTCTCTCAACCACATGAAAAGGAAATTAATGCATTTTTGGTTTTTGATTTGATGCACATAATTCTTTAATCCTCTGAATGTGATATATATCCACTTACATATTAATTGATGCTTGAAAATTGAATTCTCCCTTCTTGCTAAAGCGGAGTTATCGCCACAAAGAAAAGGGAAGATTGCTTGGTTGAGGATTGAGGCTTGAGGAATGTCGATCAATCACAATTTGGTACTGGTTGAATTGGCTACAGAGACATTGGTTTAAGAGGTACTTTTCCCCATTAAGAACGTTATTTGTTTACCTTGATTTTAAGATATCTCATATCAGTAGAAAAATATATCACTGTATGTGTTTCTTTAGAGCAAGGTGACTAGCATTTTAAATTTGATTCAGAAAATAACCTTGTGAAACAATGAAACCAACAAAAAAGATGCTTTCAAAAAAAAAAAAATGTTTTCACTTTATGATGTTGATGCTGGCTATAAAAAGTAAAAATAAGATAATTTAGCTAATATTTATATAACTATAGTTTCTATTTGAATATTGAGAAAAAAATGTATTTGAAATATAACTAGTTAATCAAGAACATGTTTCTAGTTTCAGTTTGTAATGATAAATATACTACACAGCTAACAAAAATGTAGAATCTTTGTTTTTGAAACTCACAACAGGTCATACCCCCTTAAAAAAGATTACAAACAAAAATGTACCAATTACAAGGCAATTATGGGGTGGTTCTTCAATGTGAATTATTTTACTTGTTGAAGTTTTATAACAAATTAAAAGCATTTGATTTGAAAGCAAATTACTTCTTAAAACAAAGGCATAAAAACATGTTCTTGATTGTATATACGTTTTTTATTGTTTTTGGTTTTAAAACTGGAACAAAAATCATGCTCTTGAATTTTTAATTTAAAGATAACGTTTTTATCTGGTTGTTCAATAACATGTTTTATAGATTATATAACCATAAAATTTGTTTTGTTTTAAAAACCATCAATTTGATGGTTTCAAAAGCATTAATGGTTTTCTGAAACAATTATGCTGGAGAAAACAATGAAAAAACATTTATGTTTGAGTATTTGTATTGTTGGCTCCGATTCATCTACTATTTGTATTGTTGAATCGGATTCAAATATATCTTGATTTGAATCTATTTGCATCCTTAAGTGCATGTTTTGTGACCTATTTAAAATAGATAAACTGATTCTTTTTTCTTTTTTGATATAAAACTGAAAAGAAACCTAACGAAGAAGGGCCCTGCCCTGCATATCCATAAAACAAATGTAATTCAGATCCCAGTTTTTGAGAGGAGAGTTCCTGGAGGCCGATAGTCCTAGCTTTGCTAGTCTATCCGCTGCTTCATCTCCTTCTCTCCAGGCCGATAGTACACGATCTGGAGCGACCTATCTTCTTTTGATGCTGCGGCACTCTTGAATAGTCGACGAGCACTTCCATGACGGGAGGAACTGTTGAGGAGACTATCTATGTCTCCTTCGATCCAAATCCCGCAAGTGGAAAGTTGTGTTGCAATCTTGTGGGCCTCTAGAGCGGCAAGGCCTTGTGCTACATCGATGGAGGTGGCTCCAATTGGGAGACTAATTGGAGAGTAATAATTAAGTTTCATTTGTAATTAAAGGACACTTTATTATAAAAGGATGAAACCTAAATTAATATAATTTCTTACAAGCCTGTGTCGGGTTTTTATTTGAATCAGGAAACTACTTACGAAACAAAAAAAAAAAAAAAAAAAAAAAAAATTAATTTGAAAAAGCGAAAGCAATGTTATTGTAGAGATGACGTGGGACTCATACCACTGTTCAAAATGTTTGTTTTGCCCCTTTTCCTAAATGGAGGTGGCCTGACCATGTATAATTGATAAAGCATTCTGCAATGAAATTCATCATAACATCATTAAGCTGTTAGACGTGCAAGGCAAAAAAGATTGACACCCAAAGTTGGATAGGTTTTACTCTTAAAAATAGCAAGACAAAAATGAAAAATCAGCACAATCAAATGATTCATGATCATCATCATCATCACGAAGTTTTGTCCCATCTGTACGGTGTTGGCTTTATGAATCCTGTTCTACCTTTTCGTTCTATTAATACCATATCCATTGTTAACTTGTAGGTTAAATCATTTTTCACTATTTCAGCCCATGTCTTTTTTTTTTTTTTTGTCCATTCCTAGTTATTCTAGTCCCTTCAGTTCAATGTGTAATATATCACTTCTCAATGTGGTTAGAGTTCCAAAGTTATTTAACAAATTAAATTATGTAAACTTATCTTGTCCTTTTTATTGTTTAGACAGAGTATTATTATTATTATTATTATTATTATTATTATTTTTTAATTTCTTGACGCCTGAGGATAAGAAGAAAACTGCTCAGTCACGGATCTGAGTGAAGGGCTTCAACGAGAAAAGCAGGCATTCTTGACCAAGTGTGGATACGATTCACTAGTAGAACTTTCTGAGCAATCAAATGGGCAACCTTGTTGCAGTACGCCAGCACCGAGGAGAGAAGGGAGAAGATGAAAAATAGGTCTACAATCTACAATAATATTAGAGATTGGCCAAGGAGGATTGGAGGATTCCTCCAACAGAGCATTGATCACAACTTGCGCGTCTCCCTCAATTTGGACATGCTGGAGCTGAAGAGGTGAAATGAATGTAAGTGCTTCCAAAAGAGCAAGGGCTTCTCACTTTCAATAACTGAGGATGGATTGAGCTTTATGGCACGAGCAATTACATAGGATCCATGGTGGTCCTTTCCTAATAATCAATCCTGCACCCGCGCTTGATCTGGAAAAGGGTACGTCTATCAAAGTTGAGTTTCAACTTTCAATTCAACCAATCTATACGAGGCTTTATCCACTTATCATTAACAAATTCAAAAGGATGAGTGATGGGTCGTGTCCAATCTTGGTTGGTTTAGACTTTAGAGCATCAACCATCACATCTACCCCTCCCAAGTCCCAACTAAACATAAATTTCATTAATGGCTTGCTTAATATCCAAAACTTCATTAGCCAAGACAAGATGACAACGGGATTTCCAAAGCATCCACATAGTAATGCGGCACATTAAGCAAAGATAGCAACATGATATTTGGAATAGGCGTCATCTAATGTACCCCAATAATAAAGCCAATCAGTAATCAACCAATCTGGGTGAGAATCCACATGTAGCTGCCCCAAACACGCTTTGAGTGAGAATCCACAATGAATGTTATATTTAATAAACTTACGGAAATAGAGCATAGAAAACCAAATGGCTGAATAACTCCCCTTTGTGCTTTCTGGCCAAAAAGAGTTTCCAAATTTCAAGTACTTGGCTGAAAGGATTTGGGCCCAACGCCCAAAGGCTTTGCGGCTGAGCGAGAAATCTCCACACCAGCTTCATTATAAGGATGATATTACTAATTCGAACATCTCGGAAACCAATACCTCGCTCTGCTTTTTCTTTGGAGATGGAGTTCCAATTCTTCGTGTAGATGTTATCTTTATCTAAACACCCCCACCAAAGATCTCTACAAAGAGCATTGATTTTTTGAGCATCTTGTTGCGTGTTGCGACACAAGGAATTTGTCAAAACATAATTGGGAATGGGTTCTATGACACTCTTCAAAAGAACTATTGCAGTTCTTATGATGGTATTTAGGCAACTCATTGCATTTCTGATGGCACCCTAATTGTAGTCCAGCTTAAAGAATATTGACGTGATTTCGTTGTATCCTACCTCAAAGAACCCCATCTGATTTTATTCCATTAAATTTGTTTCCACTATAAAATCCCATAAACATGCATACTTATGCATTCACAAATCCAACCGGGTTAAGTAGGGAAGTGTCCCATAGGATCTGCTATAGAAATGTTATCAGACATTTATTAAGTAGGGAATCCTTTAGATTGGCCACCCATGCTAACTTATTTGCCAATGTCCCACCTTTTAGTATTGAACTTAAAAGAAGGTATTTATTTTAATCTTATAGCAAGGGTTTTTGGCCTAAAAAATTTGCCCCATTAACAAGACAATTAGAGGGGCGTGTGGAGGCCATTTTTGGGCCACAATATATATATATATCTATCTATTTGGGTCACTTGGTGAGCATCCCTAAATGACTCGAAGTTTTTCTGCATTGCACTTTTCTAAAAAACACTTGCCCTGTTTCCAATTATAAGCGTTTCCTTTTGGATAACATTTAAAATTTCAACTTGCTAATTTGTCTTGGGGAAATCACCCATATAAGTTGATCGGTTAAGACTGAGGTGAGTGTATGAAAAGGTCCACTAGTTAGGTCAGCAGCTAGGGATGCTTCCTAGACAGACCAGCTCATTTCTGCCATGTGCAGGGATCTTGGAGATTTAACCCAAACTGTCCATTGGATATAGGAGCCACACCATTCATAGCTTGTTTTAAATTTTATCAGAGAAGTGTATATCAGGCATATGCCTCATCTTGTATTTGTGATTTTCACAATTACTATTAGCCATTCAAAGCCTTAATCTTTAATTTGAGAATTATCTATAGTATGGGCTTAATTCTTATACATGGCAAAATAATCTCACCCAAAAGTTTCTATGAATGACAGATTAGAAGAGGAACAGGTAGAAAACTCCTTTTGAGCTCCAAACTAACTAGTTTTCCATGTTAAGAAGTCTTAGTCATTTAACAACCTTATTAGCAAAACTAGTTTAATTAGCTCCAAAGTATTTTTTTTCTTTTTAAGGAAGAAAAGTGTTAGTTTAATTTATAGAGTGACTTTAATTAATATGGTTTAGACTGAAAATATATTTGTATGACTAGTTGCATGCATCATTTGAGAGACAAATTTAGAGTTATCATCACTTATAGTTCACTGCTCTTTTTTATTGTTTCTTTATTCCATTCTCAGAAAGCTTTAAATTAGGTTTCAGTGAGTGGGGCTGACCTCTGACCCATATACATGTGAGCTGTATTGAAATTCGTGGTGTAAGCCTGTAAATGTTTTAGTACTGAGGCGCAATACAAGTGGTTGGTGGTTTCAATCTTCAACTTTGGCTCCTTGTTGGAGTTGCAGCGATGCTGCTCCTTTTTTGTCCCCTAACCAGTAATTGTGCACGGCTAAAACTCTACCAAACATTTGGACTATGAGTGAGTGATACAGTAGTAAGGTTTTCTGAATCAGTACTGATTCTTTGCTTCCTAAAACGGGCGTGACAAATGCGACTCGAGTCCATCCAATTGCCCTCTCGTTGGCTTGTTACAGTAGATCTCATCAAGAAGATGATATAAGTTATCTAACGACCTTAACCACCTGATTAATTGCTCAGATTCTTTATTTGGATAGTAAGGACTCCCATCTATTCTCTGTGCTTTTTATCTGACAAGGGTCCTATACCTACTAGGGAGGTTTTCTGATGTCAGGCTGGAATCTAGTTGAGAGAGAGAGAGAGTAGTTATGGAACAAGGTATATATCAGTTAAAGGACATCCATGTATCAAATATAAGATGGAACATGAGCTCTGTTGAGTTAAGGCTGGGACCTGGGAGCCCACTCTGTCAGAGTGATAACTGCATTGGGCTAACATTAAGGGCAGGCCTGCTGTTCAAAGAGCTTGCGCAGAAGAAAAGTGAATGAGCTATGAATAGAGTAAAAACAGGTCTGTAAGTCTGGTCGATGACTTGATGTGCTGCGCTATTGAGAGAGGCGTTTCGCGTTTGCATGCCTTGCCCACCGACCATAAGTCAAAGGGACTTTACTGGTAGAAGTGACAGTGCCTACTCTTAGCTGGAGAGTTAAAATAAAAAAGAGCCACAGAAAAACCAATTCTAGCTAATATCATTCTACTGTGATACCGTCATGTGGACACTCATTCATCCAGAAAACTGGAAGGAAAATTATGTCTAGTAACATCATGGTGATTTTCCATGGAATCAATATTTTAATTGTATAGGGTAGATTCTGGTCCCCCTCAAAACATGGAACATATGCCAAGTTTTAGGGGCCTCAGAACCTTCTATTGTCTTGTTTACTCAGACTTGAGAAGATCCCTTTATTCATAGTAGAATGGCAAGTTTTAGGGGGCTGGATTGATCTTTAACCCATCAACTCATTAAGCATCCATCTAGAAGACAGTGATCTACTAAATGGGCAGGTTGGGTTAAGAATGGGCACTGTGTTTGATACCTTGGAAAATAAATAAAAATAAGGGAAATTTGTGAGAAAATTTTTGAGACATTTTCTACAATTATTAACGAATTTACCACAACTTTCTTTTTCTCACTTGTTTGAGCAAAACACAATTCCCTATTAACTGTGAAAATTGGGAGTCCTTGATGGGATGAAAGGCCTATAACATTTTGGGACTCCTCAGTTTCAATCATCCTTAATTCTTATTTACCCAATAGATGAAGCATTAAGAAATATTGGAAAAACAGAATTGAAAATACTGACAAATGAAGAATCCGTTCATTAATATTCCAAGAAATTACAATACAGCTGGTTAACAATTAGGACCAGAGGCACTCTTATTACAGAAAAAATGAAACAATTTGTATGGTCGCCATTCCTTTTATATTCACTGGTGGGATTGATCCACATATCATAATCGTCAGGACCCCTCAAAATTGTGAAGAACCCTGTTATTCAGTAGGGTTTGAATCCCTAGGGACTTACTTGAAGCCCTTAACAAATGAAATGAAAATTAAGAGAAAAATAAATAATAAATTCGAGGGCATTTGCTTTTCTTCTGCCCTAATTAATAACTAAGGTCGAACCAGTGTCTATGTATGGTCTATAGACTCTATTATGATCAGTTGAACTTCATTACTTTTGGTGCAAACCTCAATAGCCTATCCAATGTATTAGGATAGAACTTTCTCGCAAACAGAGAGCAAACATTGGTAGTTTTGCCATTGTACTCGCAAGTTCTTCCACTCCTCATCCTCTCTAAAAGCTCTACAGTCACATCTGTTCTCATAAATCTGGTAGGGTGTGGTCCTCCTCTTGACCAGTCGACCCAAGTCAAGCTTCGGTTCGAGTTCTTCTCCCAGAACTTCAAGCTCACTAATGTTGGTATGTAGTGCTCATCTGAGTAACACGAAGGCTTGCAGTATCTCCCAAATAGAGAGAAATATTTCCGGTCGGAGGCTATCTCGATGGCCAGGTCCCGGTCCATTTCAAACCACTGAGAACCCTTTCGCCATTGACTAAGCTTGATATCTGGCTTCATGCGGGGGCTGTATCGGCCACGGCCGACTGGGCCTGGCTCATCGTAAGCCTCTACAAAGGATTTGGTAGAACCAATGAGGTAATTGTAGACTGTGGAGAAGTTGAAGAGGGGAATGCATGCATCTGATAGAAGCACAAATCTTTGGTTGGAGAAGTCAAGTAGGGCATTGGCTAATAGGCGTCGCTCAGCTTCTATCATACTGAACTTTCCCCATTGCACGTCCTGCATCATTAAGAGGACAACGACAGATGAAGAAATCAAAGTTATTTCAATGCAATGAACATATACCAGAGAGAGATTTGCATTTAAAGGGTTAAAGGGTTTGGAGTTATAAGTAGAGACCAGGCATTTATAACTCAATAAATGATACAATTCCTACAGACGTTTTCCTCTTCTTTGACTGGGATTCTGAAACAGTAGAACTTTGTTGTTCCTTTATTAGGCGATGGCTGAGTGTTGTTGTTTGATTCCCTTTCGGTACGTAATATATAAATTATTATATATAGTATCTGTGTCTATTATATTGGGTATGGCTTTTGAATTGATTCTTGTCTTGTTCGTTTTCTCCAGAAAAGAGATTCACGCATTCGTCTCATCTACAAAAGAAAATCGTAGAAATGACGAGTACAGGTCACGAGAAGAAAAGAATTTTGTAAAATGATAATGAATGCTTTCGTTGTCGAAACCTTAAAAAGGAGTGGAATCCAAGCAATGAACACGAGGAAACCTCAGTCACTTGCTCTTATTAGTTATTACTACTACTACTACTTGATTTACATCCCACCGACTGGATTGTACTTCTGAGTTCTAAGTCTCAACCCCCAAGGACCCACTTGGATCTATAGGGTTAGATCCGAACTCTTCAAATCCACGCTCTCTCTCTCTCTCTCTCTCTCTCTAATTTGGAAAGAAATCAAAGATACAAAATGAAATCCATCTAACTAGATTTTGTCACTTAATTGGCTGGCTAAAGTAATTAATAGCATTTGAAAGTTGCTTGCGCCTCGCGTGTATGTTGTTCTCTGATTCCATTACAGCCAGGGTCACTTATGCTGGACATAGCATGAGCTTGAGATGAACATTTATAATGAAAATAATATTGTGACAACAGGTTTTAGTTTTCAAGCTGCTTGTTGCCTACACGTAATTTCCTCCATTTGGGCTTGGGAGTTGGCACCAGCATTTGTTTCCATCTAAGGTGGCTGAATTCTTTGTTAGCTAAGAGTCTAAGACAGCATTTGTTTCCATTTTAGGTGGCAGAATAAATCCAAACATTGTTGTTTGCCGTAAAAGAAGGGGGGGGGGGGGATAGATGAAATATTTTACGCAATTTCTATGATGCATGAAGAACTTTGACCAATCGGAATCACCATCCTGGAGTTTTTCCGCCGCTTTCAGCCTAAAGAAAATCCCAATTTTACTTTTTCTTCTCACCATTAATTTCAATTTATCTTGTATGTCTCGGTGCATTTTCTATTTGGTTTCTTGAACAATGAAAGAGCTTTAGCATTTGCAGGTTCCTTATCCCAATTAGTTTTTGACTGTTAACAAATAACAATCCTATGGCTTAATCTTGAACTACGAATCCTACCCTGTTTTATCAACCATCCCCATGCATGTATAGCTAATATGGTGTGTTTGATTGTTTTTTCTAATCTTTTTTATAGTATTAAGAAGTTTTTTCAATTCGGCCTATATGAATTTACACATATCTTCTTTTTTTTTTTCATTTTTGGGTTTTCTGCTCATCAGTATAAGCATTTTCTTAGAAGACAGCAATAAGTGAAAGCGAAAAGCATATATAAATTTGAATTGTCTATGAGGTTGTTGAAACTGACCTTACTGGGGATCCTCCGGCCTTGGAACACAGGACTCTCAGGTTCAGTATCGTTGAAGGATGGACTGGAATGAACGTAAATTGAGTAGAGTCCTTCATGCCCTTTGAAAAATTTCTCCCAGAGAGGAGCCAACGCCAATCGTCCCCTCGTTAAGAACATGAAGGCTACCTTTGGAACGCGCTTGTAAGGGAATTCATGTATCCGAGGCACCATTGATGCCCTCCAGAGCAACTCATCATCGTTCATGTCGTGCATGACCGTAGGGGGCTTCAGATATTCTTTCAATCCAATGCGATCAGTTTTGTTGCTCTCTTGTTGGTGAACAGAAGATGACACAGACAATGATGGCTGTGGTGGTGGAAGCAGCGGAGGTGGCGGAGGTGCTAATGGTGGTGAGGATGAAGAAGATATAGAGAAGTGGGTGATTTGAAAATTGAACGAGAAGTTCTTGAGATAAGAATTAACTATGACTCCAAGAGCCAAACCCAGAGTAAAGAAAATGAAAAGATTGAGAAGTGTAATCAAATTTAACTGGGCATTGAAGAGCTTGGCTATGGAGGTTGGTGGCCGTTGCTGTTGTTGTTGATTCTTCATTGTTTTTAGAGAGAGGAGAGAGATGATTGCTCAGGGGTCTGAGTGGGGAGGGGGAGTTGTATGGTAGGCTTTTTAAAAGAGGGATACTTGTTAGCTACGACGAACTTGATGTTCCCTTCCTCGGAAGCTTCTTTCCTCAGTTGAATAAGAGAATAGCTGAAGGTCAAAAATAATATTAACTGGAAAACTTGTTAATTAATAGAGCGCTTCATATTAACTAGTAATATGAAGTAATAATACGCCCAATTACTGATACAGACAACAGCAGGTATACAGAAAATTGAAAAACCAGAATCATCACTTTATGAAAAGTATTGCTTTCCAAAATTGGAACTAGTTGATCACAATTTTCAAAAGCCTCAAAACAGAAAGTAGACGGATAAAGAAGCTCCCCACTCCCCGGGTCTCATATTAAAACATAGCAATACAAAATCGGCTGGACCAAACTTACATAAAACTAGCTATTTGAAGAAAAATGCAGTGGTGACAGGCTAGCTTGTAGGGTGTGTTATCAGTATCACAGAGATGAAGAGATAGAACAAGCTGAAACAGAAAAAGAAAAAGGTAATTACGGCCACGACAAAGAGATCAAAAGGATGAACAGGGAGCGAACCAGAAATTAATTAATGTCGGCAATAAATATAATCTTCGTCGTCTAAGATCTAAAGAGTGTCTTCTGCTTACAAAAAAAAGAGTGTGTTCTGGGATAAGCAGTGCACGCTAGAGAGATTTATTCCGGGGAGACAGCCCCATTTGGAAAGTGAGGCAGATGACTTTACAATTCGCAAACCGTGGACTCTTCTCCGGCTGCTGCTCGAGATTCCAGAACACGTTGTTTCTTTCTTCTACCCTCGCAGACGCAGCCACGCTTGTGGGGTTTTGGTCTTTCTTTAGTACTAGTAGTTATTTTTAGACCAAACGCGGGCATCTGAGTTGGACTTTGACCTTTGCAGCTTCAAAGCTCCCCCAGTAAGCACTTGACGTGTTTCGAATATTACACCACCGCACCGCTATTATTATGTGGGAGCAGAGACAAATACAATTGATTGGTGCATGTGTACATCTTGTGTAATGTGTAGTATCTTCTTAACTAAATTGGAAATAATGGAGACCATATGAACACAAGCTGTGGGCCGTAGACCATAAGAATACGGCTATGTACGCTTAGATTTGTTGAAATACGACCGGTGGCTGATTATCAGTCTACCGGTATTGGACTCGTACTCACCCTCTCAGGGACATATTAAACTGGTTTGGGTTCCGATCTTTCGGTTTAATTTTCCAATTGGTTTTGGTGTTGGCCTTGTAAAATTCCGGTTCATTAATTTCAGTTTGCTTGCTTCCATGTATGCCCCTATGTATTAGGTAGACGTTTAGGCTGGCCCATCACTAGGTTTCAGTTTCAGGTTGGCCTTGGTCCCAAGTAGGAGTGTCAATTGGATTGGATTTGGACCAATCCGATCTAATTAAATGAATATTTTGGGCTATTTTGGATTGGTCCAATTTAATATTTGAACAGTCTAATTTGTTTAAATTTATTTTAATTTAGATTGATTCCAACCAAATTTGGTTTATTGACACCTAAATTCTTATCTTTCTATCAATGGATCAGATATTGATTCTATCCAATCCAATAAAATTTATTATGGATGAACCAGATCCAATCCAATATATACTTTGGACCACTAAGTCTGGATTGGTCTAATTCATCAATATATCTTGTTGGTCCGTTTACAAGTTGATTTAGGTTTGGATGGGGTCTAACCCAAAACTGGTTCATTAACATCCCTACTCCCAACTACAAATGGCAATGGGGTGGGGCATGGTTGGGTTTTGCACACCCCGTTTTCCACGGACCCCACCCCCACCCTGTACCCAACGGTGCTACAAAATAAACCCCCAGCACACGAAGGAGGTAACCTACCATCACCTCCATTGATTTCTCATCAGAAACAAGCAGTGCACGTGTTACTGGGGCAACCCCATGAACCATTAGGTGTCTCCGGCGGGTCATGGGCCAAGAAGCCTTATCCGTGTTAGTGTTACTGAGAAAAGGTTGATTTTGGGCTTTAAGGCACGTTACATGGATATGGAGTTGAGGTGCACCCTCAACTCAACGTCTCAACCTCAACCAACAAAACAAGATCGTAGTTGGTAGAGATAATAATATAACCCCAGTCAATGGCCTTCTGCACTATAACACAGATTCGGGTTTGTGGCTCCAAGCCTCCAAGCCCAAGCTTCGTTTAATTATTCCATCAGCCTTACAGGCTGGATCGTTTTCAGGCCCTATACCCCACTTGTTAAGTCTGAGCAGGGTCCCTTTCTGACTGCAAGAGGTTGCCCCCTTATTCTTGCGTGAATATGCCAGAAATGGCAAATACAAACGAACGGCTGAAATTTCTTAGAAGCTCAGAATAGAGTCTTCTAGAGGTTGCATCGTTTTGAAATAAAAATATCTAGAAAAGAAAATCGTCTGTCTTTGAAGGTCATAGGGCTTCCTTGTCATCCTGCTTTCTTTTTCATATAATGACTAGCATCTATAGCCAAGTTTCCATCTATTATGCTCTTAACGTGAACCTCGTTCATTCTTCTCTATCTTTAAATGAGCGTGCAGGTGGCAGGTGGGGCCAGGTCGGGTTGACTTCAATCCCAGCTCAACCTGAGTTGCTGAATCTCACTCGATTCTAACTTTAGCCCAACCCAATCTTTTAATCCAATAAAATCATCTTGGCCCAATTTCTACACTTCTTTCTGCTTGAAAGAAAAAATATATTCCCACTTCCTTATTACAGGATTTACGGATCAGATACAACTTTCATACATATACATACATATTTACATAATAATTTGCTTATGATAGTATGAATAGACATATAGGGTTTGACACAAGGACTCAATCCTAACACAATCCGAAATTGAATCATGTTATATTTTCCTACCCTAACTTTAAACCCAGCATGATGATTCCGGGTCTCATTTTTACCCTCAAGAGTGAATTGATTTTGTATGCTGAAGAAGGCTTTAAAATGCTAAATGCGTAATTGAGGCATAATGGTCCAAAAAGGTGAGTCATAAATTAATGAAAATGACATATAATGTATCAAATTAAAATGATAGAAGGTACACATATTCATAAACTAAGTAACCATTGATACTTGAGGCTTATGCCTTTTTATGCCTCAGGCTACGCCTCATGCCTTGAGGCTTGAGGCTTGAGGCTTAAGTCTTACACCAAAGTTCTTACGCTTAAGCTCTCAGGCAAAATCTGTGTGCCTTGCCTCATGGTCTATACGCCCCATACCTCAAGACTTAAACCCTTTAAAACAATAATGTTCAATGGGTTAAACCGGCCGGGTGGAATTGTCACCCTTAGTGCCAACTTTTCTTTTTATCTTGGTGGAAGCTATATTTCTAAATGTCCAGATTGCCTTCCAAGTGTACATAAAATCTGTTTTCAAGTCTTTGGTGAAATATGGCATCAGTAACTCATTTTATTTATTATTAGTTTTTCTCTGTTAAAAAAACAAATAACCCAATTTACACCAAACCCACCATTTTTTCTTTTTTTTTTTCCCTTTTTATGTCAAATAAGTGAAATTTTTTTATTACTAAAAAACTCATGTGTAATTATCATCTCCCATGTTTACGTTGGAATATGATATAGGTCTATAGAATTTCCACCAATGAAAACAAAAGATAGTGACATACTAATCGGTTTTTATACATGTATCTATTACATACTATATACCTTACATTTTACATGGAGCAATATTTTAATTTTCATATTTTATTTCATCTTATTGTTTTTTCTTGATATTCCTTAAAAAATGCAATTAATTACAAGAACACCCACATGATGATTTACATGTGAGACTTGTTCTCAGTTGGCAAGAAGAAGAAGCAGCAGCAGCATATCCTAAGGCTTAAGGGTCGATACCAAGCAGCAATGGAGTGATCCGTAACAAGGGTTCCAATGCACTGGGCAGAAATTTCCTGGCAAAAAGGAAGCATATTGATGTTGGGAGGCCATTATATGTACAGTTAGTTCCGTATCTGATCCGGTTCAGAAACTCGTCTGTCATATCATTCCATCCAAATTTCCCTGGGTGTGGGCCGGGCCTCGACCAATCGACCCATGTAACACTCCTGTTGGAGTTCAACTCTGGGGCTATCATATTCACCAATGTGGGCAGATAATGCTCGTCCATGTAACAAGAAGGGGTGCAGTAATTTTGGAAGACGGGGTAGTACTTTCGGTCTGCTATAATCTCAACGGCCAGGTCTCGGTGGACCTCAAACCACTGACTCCCCTTACGCCACTCTGTAATATTCACTATGGGCCACATTAGACGGTTGTAGCGGCCTCGGCCCGCCTTCCTTGGGTCATCAAATGAGCCCAGGAAGCTGACATTTGAATTGATGAGATAATTGTAGACTGTTGTGAAGTTGAATAGAGGAATGCATGATTCAGACAGCAAGACGAATCTCTCATTTGAGAAATCAAGCAGGGCGTTGGCTAAAAGGCGCCTCTCAGCATCGATCATCGTTGATCTTCCCCATTCCACTGCCTGCAATACATGGCAGGACGCACTCTGATGAGATTCTAACCCAAATATATATCAGAAATGAACTACTTTTGTTCACTGCATCTCTCTATTCAAAGTTGAAACTATCTAGCAATCGTCCCCTTTATATTTTATAAAGAAAAGCTTGTGAGTCCTCCTCATATATAACTTTCTGATTATATAAAACTATTAGAATTTAAAGATAAGGGATAATGTAGTTAAAAAGACCAAAAACAATAATGTTTTATTAGGGGTGCAAGTTAGGCAGGCGCGGATGGTCAACCCAGGCACAACACTAAATATTATGACTAAGCCCGAGTCCAGACTGGACCTGAGATCAAGCCCAACCTTTCCAACATAGGCCCAGCCCAAACTGAAACTTAACATACTCAGGTCCCGGACCTGAGCTGGGCTCAGATTGGTCAATTGGGCTCAAGTTGGCATGTTAGGCTCAATTTACTGAAATGTTAAAACAAACCTATTTATCATCATTAATTTAAACCTTTGAATAGAAATTTTGTATATTTTGCACAGTATGTATGTATGTATGCATGCGTATTGTCAGGCCCGGCTCAGGTTAAATATGTTTTAGGCCCAAATCCAGCCTAAAAAATAAAAAAGCCCAGTATTTTCAGCCTAGGCCCAGCCCATATAAAAATGCAGGCAAAGTTGATATGGGACTGGGCTCGAGTTGAAATCGCCCAAGTTACACCCCTAAGGCTATGTTTGGTTTGAAAGAGAAGGTAGGGAAACCCATACAAGGTTTGTAAAGGTTTCCCCAGGAGCAGCAGGAAATTGTTATAAGGGGAGCCAAAACATAAATGAAGTATGGATGGGCCCATAGGGGGAGCAACCATTGAGATGGAGAGTGGGAGGAGAGGAAAATTTACATGAAAAGCTGTATTACAGTGAGGATTTTCTGAACCATAGGGGGCCATGTCTCCCCTGGGTTTCCCTACCTTTTTTTTCTTTTCCTTACTTTTTCCTTAAAACCAAACATAACCTAAAAGTTTTGGAAAGAATCCTTTGTCAACAAGCTATTAAATGAATGTAGACACTTCTGCTTTTGTAAGACTAGTTGAATAGGATGGAGGACTGGTTAGCAAGGTTAGGTCCTTGCACTTCTGTCTCTGATGTATGTGTGCCTAAATCTTACTAGAGATTTTTCTATTTATGTCTTTGTGATGCTTGAGGATTGGCTACCCCCGTTGTGTATGTAGGGTTTCTTCTCCACAAAATAAATAAATAAAATAAAATAAAAGAAGACTTAACCGAGTGGCAAGATAGAAGAGAGAGGAGTAAGAGATGAAAATACATGGTCGAAATTTTGAGGTGGTGGTTGTTTTTTGACGTGAGAAGAAAGCAAATGTCGGTATTAAGAGTTGAATGTCTCACGAGGAACGTAGAAGAGGTTGAAACAGCTGCAGATACAATTTTTTTTTTCTTTTTTATTGCCATCACTTCATTTACAAATTAAAATTTAATAAATTTATTTTTGTTTTAAGTAAGACCTAAAGGTCAATAAATAAATTTCAATGAAGAATTAATGTACAGAGAACAAGTTGACCTTAAAATAAGATATCTAAGGAATATATATAGCATAGGATTGAAATTGATGGGTCCACCATGCAAAAGGCAGCCTTCAACTCACAACTGAACTGGTCTCATGAGTCATGACTGCGATAGAGGCACTATATATGGCTAAGTATGCTCCAGTCCAGTGAACAAACAATTACCCAATAGAGAGGAGTCTCTTGTGGAATTAAAATCCTAGAATATGACCCAGCTGAAAAATCAAAAAATGTGCAAAATTACACCCTTTTCAGTTATTTTTCTAAACATAAACTGATAAAAGAAAGATATCTTAATTAATAGTGTGGTTAAAGATAGGAAAGGATGTAAAACGAGTTGTAAAAATGAAAATGAAGATATGACAAAAATATCTCAATTAACATTCTTTTTGGGGTATTGCACTCTCCATAAGGTTATATTTGCTTGCATTGTAATTTCTTTTGCACTAGTATAAATGCATGAGTGCAAATCAGAAGGATGCAAATTTTGGTCCACTTTTGCTTCAGTTTTTACTTTCTTTTGCTTTGGCTTCATTTACTTCATGTATAGCTGCATGCAAAATAAAGTCGAGCCCACATTTACACTCCCATATTTTTGCACCAGGGAAAATGAAATTGTGGTGCAAACAAATTAGGGCTAATGGGAAATTAGAGCAATGCACTTCCAAGAAAACAACCTAAAAGACTACTCTGCAACAGATTGAAGATGTATCAGACTACCAGGCGAAGATTTCTGAACTCTGAAACATCCGGATTGGTGAAGGGTATTACGTATTGAAGATAGATGATGAAGTTTAAGAAGTCGAGCCCATACCATATATATAGGTTATAGTATTAACGAGTGAAAGCAAACAAGTTGATGTGCAAGAAACAGACCTTGCTGGGGATCCTTCTTCTGTAGAAAACGGAATCCTCCGGCGTCGAATCTACAAAGCCAGGATGAGGATGCACGTATATGTTGTAAAATCCTTCATGGCCTCTGAAGAATTTCTCCCACAACAGCGCTAATGGCAATGGACCTTTCGTTAAGAACATGAAAGCAACCTTAGGTGTGAGACTGTAAGGAAATACGGTGATCCGCGGAACCATGGATGCCCTCCAAAAGAGCTCCTCGTCGTCCATACCGTGCATGAGAGATGACTTTTCCTCATTCACTGCAGCGATGCTCTCATTTTGTGTTCTGTTGGTCGGAGGAGGTAAAATTGGCAGCGAGAGTGACGAGAGGGTGGCTGGTGGAGATGTTGATGGTGGGGGTGGTGGTTGCGGTGGTGATGACAATGGAGGACTAGTGGACAACAGGTTGACCTGAAAACTGAAATACAAATATTTGATGTATAAGCTAGCTATGGTTCCAAGAGATAGACCGATGACAAAGAAGAGGAAATGTAAAACATGGTATGGTTGTATGTGGGCATTCAGAAACTTGGGGATCAATGGAGGTGGATGCTGTTCATTCCTCATTGTTCTTAGTTATCACAGTCACAGATACACAGACAGACGGCTGAGAAAGCAGGGAAACAAGGAGGGTTTGGACTTTGGAGGATGAAGGGAGAGATAGCTCATAGCTTTGCTTAAATTAGCAGAGGTCACTTAAGGACGCCTTAGAACTAACTCAAGTTAACCTTGCATGTGCTGGCTCGCATCTCTCGATGTGGACATGGGTTGTTCAAGTACATCAAAGATCTCAAGTCTATGGTACATTTTATTGAATTTATACAGTAACAGTAACAGTGAAGTAAGGAAAGTAGGTTGACAATTTGACATTGGAACTAGAAGTCTACAACAGCCTACGGCTACAAAGATTTAATATTGATGTACCAAATTAAATCTAAGTCAACTTACCACATTACATACACGTTCAAAGTTTGGAAGGGAGTCAATGGGACTAGGGCTACTTATACATAGTTTGGGCTGGTTCTTGGTTGCTTCACATCGCATAAACACGGACCCAACAGACCAAACACCCGTAGGTTCTACACAACAAGTGCGAAACACCAATATGAAAAGAGTAATTAAGCGTGGATTGTGGATTAATGCTAGTAACTATAAAATTTCGGTTAATTACAATGGGTGAATGGCTGAATGCTGATTTATAGCACACCAGATCTACGGTGGTTGGGCCTGGACCCAAATGCTCAAAACATTGGACAGGTAGCAATTAAAGGGCTCTCAGCCCATACATAGTCCCGTGTCCCAAGGACCAAGAAATAGGATTTTGGAAAAATAATGTCCAATTTGTAGAACAATCATCTCAATTGCAAGCTATGAACTTGCAAATTTCAATGATGTATGCTTATAGCAACCTATGGCATTTGCTTAGATCACCAGTTTTGTGAGTAGTAGGCTAGTACCAACGGAATCTAGTATTTAAAGGGGTTCTTAATAATTGTCTTTAACTCGTAACCTCTTTTGACAAATATAGTATCAATCACAACTCACGAGGTACCATAATGGGGCACTTGGACCCATAATTTGTAAAAAGAATTTCGGGGTAACCTTAACAAAACAAAAACCCTAATCGCACTTCTTAAAATATCAAACCCAATTGGGCGGGTTGTGCTGGGTTTGGGTTGGGTTGAGTTTCAATCCAATTCATTTAACATGCCAATTCATTAATGATCCGGTTATATAAAATTAAATGGGTTGGGTTCAATTTAAACCCATTTTAATCCAAATCTATTAATCTTATATTTATATAGTTAAAACAAAAAACTAATTCCCTCTTAATAAATAAGTTGGTCATAACATGGTGGTAATAGTAGTTACTATTTACACAAGTGATAAAGGTTCAAATCACATTACATGCATATTAGTTTTACACAAGCAACGAATCAATTTGACTATGTTTGGGTTTCAGATTTGACCAAACCACGTAGGTTCAAATCAGTCAAACCAACTTGAATTATCTAATTGGATTGTCTTCGAGCTAATCACATTAAGAGTGGTTGAACCGTTTAGATTTGGATCAGTCCAATCAAACCAGACTAGACCGGTTTAGTCAATGATGGATTGACTTGGACCAGCCCATATCAGGTTTGTGCACGGGTTTGGGACCGAACTGACTTGCCCGAAGCAGGTCAAGAAAAATAAATCGGACCAGGAATTGGGTGGGGTTGTACAGATATGAGCTGGACCGGACGATCTAAACTAGGCAAAGCAAGCAAGCGGATTTAGGGTCTAAACCCCATCCCACTTGACCCATTTCATATACGGGTCGACTCGGATTGGCATACCCTAGGTTGGGTCGGGTTCAAACTAGGACCCAAACGAACTGAACCAAGGTGATCCAGTCTGTTCATATTTAGACCAAGTTGAGCTGGTTTGGACTCAAGTCAAGTTGATTTGGATTTATATCGATTTGGGTGAAGTGTATTGATTTGAGACAAAACTAATTTTAATCAATGATTAATAGAAAATTAATGCATTAATTATAAATTATTTCATTCAAATAGAAAAAATTAAAAATAAATGGCTAAGAAATTAATACTTGTATCTTTAGTGGTTAACCCAATAATTATCCACAACCCATCCCAACCCAACCCCTTTAAATTGTCCCAATGTGTGATCAAACCCATTTCCAACCCACCATGTAATTGGGTGGGTTGGGTGAAAAATTGCCACCCCTACCAGCACCCCAAAGGCCAAGCACACATAGAATTAAGGATCCCAAGACAGCCAATAGAAGAAAGAGCTATCTGTAAACAAAATGAGTTTTTGCTTTCTCCAAGAGATTGTTTTGAGAATGGGCACTGTGACTCTAATCCAACATCCTCACTCTTTAAGCTCAATTTAGAAGGAGTACAAATGCAAATATGTACAGTGCAATACATACAAAATATAAGGTTTTGCATTCTACATATTTGCATTTGTACTCCTTCCAAACTGAGCCTTAATGTTAAGGCCCTGTTCATTTTTGGGAAGTTATTTATTACGATAAGCATTTATCAGGAAACACTTAATTAAGTGCATTCATCTATGTTTTGTTTTTCTCAAGTAAATAAGATAATGATCATTTTAGTCCATTATTAAAAGGGGTAGTTTTGTTCCATCCATGTATTGGTATTTTCTCCCCCTCCCCCAAGTGGAAAATTTACTTATCGGTTTGGAAGATGGGTATTACTTATTCAGGTGGATCCCACATAAATCTAAAAAACAAGAATATGGGTATCTTAGTCAATTAGAACTAAAATCCCATTAACCAACTCTCTTCACTCTCAAAATCTAAAAAGCAAACAGGCCCTAAATAGTTTTCTCTCCGTATTGTACTATTGTTTTGTTAAGGGATACAGTAATTAAAGTAAAAAATGTCATTTATTTCCCCATCGTTACTAGTTACTAGTTACTAGTTACTAAGCAATTAGATGTATCAATTACAATAAGTTGGATTCGGGCCAGGTCCATGTAATACCCAAATCCAGACCCACCCTCCTATTAATTATGTTCATCGGTTCCAGGTCGTATTTGCTTCAGGCCTAGGTTTGAATTAAGTTGTTCTATAACCATACCAATAGATTTTGGACTAATCCTGTATGGTGGAATTAGCAAATAGAGAATAAAAACTTATTAAGGAATCTCACCTAAGGGCTTAAATTTTTAGGTTGAACGGTCTGTTGACATGGTATAGAGCTTGTCTTGTCAAGTGATTTAGTGTTTGGTATTTTTTATTATAATTAATTAAATTTCAACACAAAATAAGAGTGAATTTGTATTTTATTTATGTTTCAAATCCAACGGGCTTTCACATGAGGGAGCACACGAGAGAATAAAAACCTATTCAAGAAGCTCACTTTACAGTTTAAGCTTTTAAATTGAATGGTTCTTTGACAAAATATAAACATAATCATATGTATACAATAAGAAATGAAAGGAAGAAAGATAAGTAGTAATACAAATATATGCAAAAAATACAAATATATAATACAAATATATGCAAATATATGCAAAAAATACAAGGTTTTACACTCTACATATTTCTATTTTTACTCCTTCCAAAATAAGGGGATATTTAGAACTGTGTCCGTTTTTCAAAAAATGGTGTCACGTCGGATCCACATAAGCGTTTCAACAAACGCCCATGTATCTCATTGGTTCATCCAATTATTAAAAAATCGGGCATGCCTTGAAAATCGGGACCCCACCGATTGGCGTTTCATGCATCGATGAACCGTTTCCCCAACAGTTGATTGATGTGTATCCTGTGTAGTGCTTACCTGTCAGCACATACATGAAAAACAGTGATGAAAATCACCTTACCAAACAACATAGTGTTATTCACTGCCTACATGGCAGAAGTGTTTTTTGTGAAAAACGGGTCTTAAAAACATAAACGTTTTTTCTTGAAAATCTATCCCAAAAAGCACCCACACTTCCAAACACTGTATAAATCCAAAGCACCATTTAAAAATAGAACAGATACAAATATGCACAATACCAATACCAATACATACAAAATAATACCATATACAAAATTACGCACTCTACATATTTGTATTTGTATTTGTCTTTGTAATCATCCCAAACAGAGCCTAAAATTTTCAAGGCAAGATCACATACTAAATTTCTTTTAGGTGCGTATCAAGAGAATGTCGTTCAATCAGAGCCCCAAAATATTCATACTAATGAAGTTTGTAAATCGTCATTATTCAATGATGGGTCCCCCGCCATCAAGGGTTTTGAGATGGGTATAAAACGGACAAAGTAATCAATCTCAGACCGGAACCTGGAACCTGCTACACTTGTCAGCCAGAGCCAGATATTTTACACTTTAGGTATTGTTGGACTGCATTCCCTTCAGAAATCTTTTTTGCAGCCGCTCTATTAATAGCCCTCCCCCCAATAAACCACATCCTAACAGGTGAATTTAGCATCAATCTACCGGTGGAATTCAATCCATCCCTAGGTGAAACTAGGATTTTACAGACAGCATTTTAGTATTCAAGTTAATGTGGTCTTAATGATTTTCCTTAAAAAATGCAAATTAATTACAAGAACATCCACGTAATGGTTTTGGTTTAAATGTGAGTTGTGAGGCTTGTTTTCAGTTGGGTTAACTCAAAACATTAAAAAAGAATAAAGAAGGTAGGCTAATTCAGAAGAATAGAAGAGGAAGCTTCAGCTTATCCTGATTCCCGAGGCTTAAACTCTCAAGGGTCAATACCAAGCAGCAATGGAGTGATCCGTAACAAGGGTTCCAATGCACTGGGCAGAAATTTCCTGGCAAAAAGGAAGCATATTGATGTTGGGAGGCC